TACGGGAGGGTGAGAGGATTCACCAAAAACAGAGTGGGGCACAGAACAGGCAGACTAACGAAATACACTGCTGAGGGGAGCAGTGGGTGAGACAGGAGAGGTCTGCTGCACCAAGTGGGTTTCTCCTTGGCTGGCTGGGATTGAACCTGCACTGCAGAGGCTGCAGACAGCTTCACAGGGCGGTGCTCAACCACCTGCGCCACCAGGGATGCCCAAGAATCCAGTATGTGTTATCAAAGGCTGTTGTTGTAGATTCTGGCATCCCTTTCTGAATGAGCCTTGTTGGACTTGGCCAAGAAAATCCTTTGATTTTTCAATAAAATACCTCTAGGGAAGGGAGAAAAATGGGTAGTTGGGATTGATCACTTTTGTGACCGTGATACTATGCAGCTGAACTGAAAGGAAGATATCTTCACAATTGCAGATACAACCATAAGGGTTATTAGTGGGAAGATGCTACTTTATCAGTAAGGTATAGACCTGAAAGATGGGGTTTGTGCTTCTGTGCTTCAAGGTGAGGAGAGCAGGAAATCCATGAAAAAACTTTAGGGAATAAATGTTCCAGAATAGGTCCATCTTCGGAGTTTTCCTCCTATATCACCTAGAGCATTCTGCACCACCCCAACTCTTTCACCCTTGTTAACTTTGCTCCTGCTGTCCATTTATAGGTGTTTCAAGGATTTCCAGTTGCAGCAGGCCAACAAGATGGAGCTGCGAAAGCAGCAAGAAGATGTGAGTGTGGTTCGTCGCACTGAGTTCTATTTCGCTCAGGCACGGTGGCGTCTGACAGAGGAAGATGGACAGCTAGGAATAGCTGAACTGGAGCTGCAGCGGTTCCTGTACAGCAAGGTATTGGGCATATACGGTCACAGAATGGCAGCTGTATTGAGAGGCATTGACCTATTTCAGATGTCTGATTCACAAAAAAAGTAAAACAAAAAGGGGCTAATTATATGATTATTAATGATAGAAACATGAGCAGAGCTCCCCTTAGACATGTTTGTAATGTGAAATAATAGAGATATACATAAACTTGATCAAATGCTTCCTTCATTGACTAGTATCTCTAGAAATGCCCAGAAGGAATAATCTTCCAAGTCCAACTTGTAAAAGAACCATTAATTCTATACTAGCATTCAGCTTTCCTGCAGTTCCTCTTTGCATGGAAGTCTGAGTCCCTTCCACAAGCTCCTGGACATTTGGAAGTGAGACCATTTTGAGTGTCACAGTGATTGAGAAGTAATGCTGACATTTAGTACCAGTGAGACCTGGAGTACCCATGAGAAACTCTGGATTATAGGATGTATTGACTTTTTAACATTGAAAGAGATAGCAAAAAATAGGGATTAAACATGGAGAAGCTGAAAACAATAGGATATATAGCAATTCTCTAGACGGCTCCTGAGAAATGCTTATTATAGTGGATTGGGTGGTGGGCTATCCGTCTTTTATAGGTGAATAAGTCTGATGATACAGCAGAACATCTTCTGGAGTTGGGCTGGTTCACCATGAACAACCTCCTGCCCAATGCTGTCTACAAGGCAAGTCATTTCCCCATTCCTCGCCATTCACATGCTTCCTACTACAGAGCATTTGTAAAAGTCCTCCCGCATAAACCCTCTCTTGCCAACAATGTGGTGATCTGAAATGGTGGAAGCTTGTCCAGCTTAGTAAGACCATTGCTTCCCTTCTAAGTCTGTAGAAGATTTGTGGGTTGATTTATCACTCTACCCTACAGGTAGTCCTGCGGCCCCAGAGCTCCTGCCAATCTGGACGACAGCTGGCCCTACGCCTCTTCAGCAAAGTCCGACCCCCTGTTGGGGGTATCTCTGTTAAGGAGCACTTTGAGGTTAGTAAACAGTCCTTTGGGTACCCAGGAAGAAGGAGCAGTCAGAAGCTTTCTTTGTGTTACCTGATGCTATATTAGGGTTAGGAAAACTGAGGGATGATGTCTGAGCTTAATTGCTTCTTCAGCCTTTTTCCTCTTTAGGTAAATGTGGTGCCTCTCACCATCCAGCTGACACACCAGTTCTTCCATAGAATAATGGGTTTTTTCTTTCCTGGCCGAAGTGTGGAAGATGATGAGGTTGGTGATGAAGAAGATAAATCCAAACTGGTGACTACTGGTGAGAACTTTTGTGGTGGAACGCCAGAAGAAATGGGGTAACGGTCCCAGAGACAACTGAAGCTTCAGAAAGAGGACGACAGCTGGTGTGCTTGCTTTTTCATAGGAATACCAGTGGTGAAGCCTCGGCAGCTGATGGCGACAGATGATGCAGCACCCCTGGGCCCTGGGAAGGGTGTAGCACAGGGCTTGAATCGGAGTTCTGGGGTCAGGAGGTCATTTCGCAAAGCACCTGAGGTACCTGACATGCTCTTAAAGACAGAAAAATGGGAGCTGGGTTTGGCCTAGCTGAGGATTTCTTCTGTTTCCTTTGCATCTTTTCCAGGGGAGTAGGATGTTTGGGGTCTTAAGTTTCTTCTGATGGTTTTAGGGACTCATAATTTTCCTGCTTGTCCTAGCACCCAGTGGATGATATTGACAAAATGAAAGAGCGAGCGGCCATGAACAACTCCTTCATCTACATAAAGATCCCACAAGTTCCACTATGTGTCAGCTACAAGGTCTGCTCCTCCCCAGCATTTTTTAGAACAGGGTGGGAAGTGAACCAGATAAAATCAGAGATTAAAGACAGATTTCAGCTTGTGAAACTAGTCTGTGAGTGCTACATCTGCTTCCCTCTGCTCTCCTCTCCAGGAGTGAGCACCATTACTAGGCCGAGGTAGAGGGACATCACTATCTGTAGGTTATCACTATGGGAAGGGGCTAACTAGACTTGGGCTCAAGTACTGGCTTGGACTAAAAATAACAATTGATATGTTTCTTCCCTCTTCTTTTCTCTCTCCCTCCTCCTCTCACAGGGTGAGAAGAACAGTGTGGACTGGGGTGACCTTAACCTGGTGCTCCCCTGTCTAGAGTATCACAACAACACATGGACATGGCTGGACTTTGCCATGGCTGTCAAGAGGGACAGCCGCAAAGCCCTGGTTGCGCAGGTATCCCACCAGAGTTCATGGCTGTTTGGTTAGCAGGGTAGCAAGCAGGTCCTCTGCTCAGGAACATTTTATTTTATTTTTTAAAAGATTTATTTATTTATGCATACAAAAGCTGGGGTATAGGCCAGAGATGTGGGGGGTGAGAGGATTCACCAGAGACAGAGTGGGGAACAGAACAGGCAGATTGACCCAAGTACACTGCTGAGGGGAGCGGCGGGCAAGTCAGGAGAGGTCTGCTGCGCCATGTGGGTTTCTCCCTGGCTGGCCAGGGATCAAACTCGCGCTGCAGAGGCTGCGGATTGCTTCATAGTGCGATGGTTAACCCCTTGCACCACCAGGGAGGCCCTGCTCAGGAGCATTTTATTGTAGAATACATTAATAGCAGTCTTGGGAAAGGGCAGGTGAATGAAGTGAGTGACTTTGCTCAAGATGATTGGACTGAATCTTTACTGTTTCCTCTGTTAACTACTGTTGATTTTTTTTGGGAACTCAGGGCTTACACAAACTCAGTTTTAGAATGGACTTTAGACGGTAGGCTTCTTGAAAGTGGAGATCATTTTATAATTTGAATTGCCCTATTGTGCCTTCACGTTAAGTTTAATAAATCTTCATTGACTTGATTTATCTTGATTTATTCAGCCTGTCCCACTAATATTTACCTTCCTTTTTACTCTCTAACCTATCAGGTAATCAAAGAGAAACTAAGGCTGAAGTCTGCAACAGGGTCCGAGGTCCGGGGAAAGCTAGAGACTAAATCAAACATCAACATGCAACAGCAGGAAGAGGAGGAGAAAGCCCGGCTCCTCATTGGTTTGAGGGTGGGCAACAAGAACCCTGGCAAGAAGTCCATCTTTGGCAGGCGCAAGTGATCCGGCAATCCAAGAGTGACTGAAGTACAGGAGCTGACTCTGGCTCAGGCCCCAGGGACTTGTGGGGTGGGAGGCACTTCCCTTCATCCCTCAGGATGGGTGGGGCCAGGAGCCTGCAGGGTACTGTGGAGAGAGGCACTGCTCTTTAGCAGCTGGTCTGTCCCCTGCAGAGCTTGGTAGATAATGCTGAGAATTCTACCTCACGCTGATCAGCAGGCCCAGAACCAGAGAGGCATCAAGAGAGCAAGATACAGAGAATAGGCCCGAGGCTGGGATCTGGTTCCCTTGGGGTCAGTTGAAAGGGTGGGGGTACAGTCCTGATCAAGTGTGGTAAATTTTTATAAAGATACATATATAAATATATATTTTAAGTATAACTGCTCTCCCCCTGGTGCCAGAAATCGGAGGCTGGCAGGGGTGGATCTGACCCTCAATCCACTGCCTTGGATGAAAGATATTGGTGTTCTGGGTGTATCAGCTGCTCCCCAGTCTTTGCCAAGCTTACTTGGCAATAGGAACCAGGGCTGGCCATGGGTACCCCTGGGGCATACCTGGAAAATGGTAAGAAAATGATTTAAAGAGAAAAATATATATTTTAAATTTGATGTTGGGTTTTTTTTTTTCCTTTTGTGTTGAGTGCAAGTGTCCTTCCCTCTCCATCAACCCAAGATACATCCTCTAGCTGCCACTCTAATGAGGTGGCCTCTTTCCTTCTGTCTGCGGCAGTATCCCAGATACTTCCCAGCTCTGGTATGACTTTGACTCCATGCTGATAGGTCTCTGCACATGTTAGTTTAGACTAAACCTGGAGGAATAGGATTTGGGGTAGGGAAGGTTTTGGCTGCATCACTTGCAGCTCTAGTCATGAACAGCAGGGAAAAGGCGGGGCTCGTGTAATGCAGCATCAGGGGGAGGAATTGCTTCTGTAACTGGGACAGCAGATTTAGCAGAGAGGAGGCAGAGGCTGGGGATGGGAGCAGTGAGCTGTCAGCAGTGGCAACATGCCCGAGTGGCTGCTTCTCAGAAGGTAGGCTGTGGGGTTGTGACAGCCTGCTTAGGGAAGGTGAAGGAGGCATGGACTTGAGGTCTGGGAAGCAGCGGGTGAGGAGTATGTTAGTGATGCCCAATGTGGGGGTGGGGAAGGGAGGTATCTCAGCTCCATACTGAGAGACGCAGGCTGTATTTCCTTTTTTTTTTTTTTAAAGATTTATTTATGCATATAAGAGCTGGGGTACAGGCTAGAGATGCCAGGGGGGATGGAGGGTGAGAGGATCCACCAGAGACAGAGTGGCGAACAGAACAGGCAGACTGACTGAAACACACTGCTGAGGGGAGCAGCGGGCGACAGATGTCTGCTGTGCCATGTGGGTTTCTCCCTGGCCGGCTGGGTATTGAACTCGGGCTGCAGAGGCTGCGAATTGCTTCATAGTGCAGTGCTTAACCCCTTGCGCCACCAGGGAGGCCCCCGCAGGCTATATTTCTAATGCCTTATGGGGAAACATCCAATGATTGCTTTCTTAGATGATTTGAATTGTGTCCAGGAACTCTAGGCTTTGGTCCAAAGTGAGGATAATGGCAGTTATACTTGGTCAAAAAAATATCTCTAGCTAGGGTTGAGACTTATGGGGGAGGGAATGCCTGCTAAGATGGGCAGAAACTGTAATTCCTCAAGGGCAGAAGGTTTAAAGTGGCTTCCTTGGTTCCTAGCAGTGTGGCAACATCTGGGGCCCCTTGGTCCGAGGCTGGAAGAGCCTCTGGTCAGGTGTGAGGACCACGAGGTCAGGTCTGGAAGAACTGTGGGGACCTCGGGGGCATTAGTGCCTGCATCAGAAGCCTCTCGAGCCAGTCCCACTGCTGGTAGAGAAGCCTCTGTCTGAGTGGCCAGTGCCTCAGTTCATCAACCTTTTTCTGCCGGAATTTCCCATTAGGCCCCTTAGGGGGCAGCAGCAGCTGAAGGTAGGTCAATGGAATCCCCTGAAGGGGTCTCAGTCTTAGGGAGAAAAATCTACAACCAGTCTCAATTGCCCTGTTCTCCATTTCTCTGTACAGATATTAGGCCTTGTGGCCAAAGGCTCTTTTGGAACTGTCCTCAAGGTGCTAGATTGTGGCCAGAAAGCAGTATTTGCAGTCAAGGTAGGGAGGGGCCTACGTAATCTTTCATGTTACTTTCTTCTCTTTGCCTCCAATCTTTTTTTAAAAAAAATATTTATGCATACAAGAACTGGGGTACAGGCCAGAGGTGTGGGGGGTGAGAGGATCCACCAGAGACAGAATGGGGAACAGAACAGGCAGACTGACTGAAATACACTGCTGAGGGGAGCAGCAGGAGAGGTCTGCCTTGCCATGTGGATTCCTTTCTGGCTGGCCGGGGATCGAACTAGGGCTGCAGAGGATGCGGATTGCTTCATAGTGCGGTGCTTAACCCCTTGCGCCAACAGGGAGTTCCTCTTTGCCTCCAGTCTTGGAGTCATCATGCCTCTCTTTATAGGTGGTGCCCAAGGTAAAGGTCCTACAGAGGGACAGCCTGAGGCAGTGCAAAGAAGAGGTTAATATCCAGGTACAAATAGGCCTGGGAAGAGCTAAATCCCAGGTGGGGAAAGTACCTTTCTTGTCCAACTGTCTGCTCTTCCAGGTTCTGTCCCCTCCCTCTGATTCAAGGTACTTTAACATGGGAAGATATGGGAAAAGTAGCTATCATCAGTTATCCTAAGGTCTATCAGGGAACTCACTCCAGCATGACCTAGTGTGTGCCTTAGTATTATGCTGGTTCTGAAATTACCAGGCAGGCAGTCCCAATTAGTGAGTTCACTTGAACTAAGAGTGAGGTCAGCAGCATCCTTTCTAAACAACTAGGTAAAACCTGACTTCTTGGCTGCCTTGATCCTCAATGACCCTCCTTTAATTTGCTGTTTTCTTCATCCCTAGCGACAGATCAACCATCCATTTATGCACGGTTTGGGGGACAGCTGGCAGGGAAAACGGCACCTCTTCATTAATGAGTGACTGGCCTCCTTCCCAAGAGTTGTTCTGTACTTCTTCTCTGAGGTTACCCATCCCTCTCTCTTCTGCCTTTGCTGTTCCCTTTCTCATAGCACTTCTCTCTCCCAAACGGAGAGGGAACAGCAGGTGGCATCAATTTGGGCAGGAGGTCTACAATGCCTTGAGCCCAGGCATAGTAGCCCTCAATACTGCCTAGTCTTCTGGTGGTTTGCAGTGTGCAGCACAGATCTGTACTCCCTGTGGTCTGCTATTGGCTGCTTTGCTGAGGCTTCCATCCGCCTTTTTGCTGCTGAGCTGGTTCTGGTGCTGTGTAAGTGAAACAAGAGTGGTAATGAAAATGGGGAGGGAACAACTGGGCGGGGCATCAGAGACATTATTGGTATTAATTTTGAAGGTAAAAGAACAGGGATAGGGATGGAGTGGAGGCGCCCAGTGAAATTAGAAAGGCCAGGGGAGCTGCAGCATATGCCATACTTTGTCATTCATAGGCTATCTCCACGACTTGGGTATCATCCACCGAGATGTGAAGGTAAAGTGCTTTTTTTGTGTCTGAGGCGGGGCATTAGTAAGAGGTACCAACAGGTCCAAGAAGGCAAAGGGGAACTGAGAACAGTTGACATTGGGGCCCCCATGAGTGCTAAGGATTTGAGTAAGGGCCCTCCAAGTATAGATCTGAGAGCAGAGTAGTGTTTCTTCCTGGGGAGTGTACATGATGAAAGTGGGCTGGAAAGAAGAGGGAGAATAATAACTTCTTATCTGTTATTTTTTTCAGATGGATGGAGAATATCCTTCCAGATGAACGAGGTAAGTGCTTTTGCTAGGCCAGAATGAGAGGTATTTTGGTTTGGGAGTAAGTCATGACTGACAAGAGGTGGATGAGTCATACTGTTGCCTTCTCTTTCATAGGCCATCTGAAACTGACAGACTTTGGTCTGTCCTGCCACCTGCCCCAGGGAGCCTGCACCTATACTACCTGTGGCACCCTTCAGTATATGGGTGAGAGAGAAGTTAACACTGGTGGGCAAACACTGGGCAGGAGGCTAGCTGTTGGATATCAGTGACAAGTTATCTTTCTAATCTGTAGCCCCAGAGGTCCTGAGTGGAGGGCCTTACAGCCATGCAGTTGATTGGTGGTCTCTGGGTGTCTTACTTTTCTCTCTGGCAACTGGAAAGGTGAGAACTGGTAGAAAAGAGGAGCTTAACCTTGTGGTGGGAAAAAGGATGACCTTAGAAATCTTGCTTTATTCTAACTAAGGAATGCTACCTTCCCACCCCTTAACTCAGTTCCCAGTCGCTGCAGAGAGAGATCATGTATCTATGTTGGCAAGCGTGACCCACTGTGACTGAGATCCCAGCTTCTCTTAACCAAGGGCTCTCACTCCTGCTTCATGAGGTAAGGATGAGCACTGTTTTCTTTCTTGACTACCAAACCATTCACTGTCCTTTCCCTATAATTAAAGTGATAGTTACCCATTTCTGATTAGCTTGGGGGCAGGGACTCCAACTTGATCAAGTACCACCTCACTACTTGCCCTCTAACCACCACTTCAAATTTCATTACTGAGTTTGGGTCCTCCAGATGATCTCCACATCCATGAGAGAGGTCACTTTTTTTTTTTTTTTTTGTGGGACCCTCGCTGGTGGCCGGGGATTGAACTGGCACTGCAGAGGCTGCAGGCAGCCTCGCAACCCAGCGCTCAACCGCTGCACCACCAGGGGAGGCCCGAGAGAGGTCACTTCTGAGACAGTGGGCCACTGCTGCTCTCTTCCCAGTGCCATTCCTTTATCCCCACCTTTGTCCTGGTATTAACACTTTTCTCCATTTTATAAATTCTCTTCTCTTTATGGTTCTTTTTCCTGCCCTCTTCATCTCCATGAACTTCTTTCTCCTTTTCCAGTGTATCTGTTCATCTCCTTTCCTATCCTAGACCCTCATCCCTCATGCTCCCTTTCTCTTCAGCTCTTATGTCAGAATCCCTTCCATTGTCTCTATTTGCATCACTTCCAGCTCCACCCTTTCTTTCAGAGTGTGGCCTTTGACCCAGAGCTCCTACAGAAGCAGCCTGTGAACACTGTCATGAAGACACAAGCCACCCAACTCAGTCCATCGGAGTCCATGCTCTTCAAGGACTTTGTGACCTGGAGTCCTACCTGGTTCGCCCCAGCCCTGCTTGAGCTCCTCTACTGTAGATTAGGGCCTATCTGGGAACCTGAGGATCTCCCCTACTGCCAGCTCAGTATGACCGCCTTGATGATCCAGTGTGTTTTTACTTTGTGACCTTTTACCATTCTGTTCTTGCAGGTGTTAGACAGGAGTTCAAATCCTGGGCATTCTGCTGCTGGTAGCCACAGTTAGCTCTAATCCACATCTCAGTTCAACATCTCAGAGTGGTGACTTTTTCCTTCGCTTCATGTCTTCAGTGCTGTTGCTTTCAGCCAGAGGCATCTTCCATTTTCCCCTCCTGTTTCTCTGTTGTGTTTCCTCTCTTGAGCCTAGTAAACAATACTTCATGGGTTCCCAAGGTGCTATTTATATATTTAGTAGGCTTATCAGAAGCAGTTTGACTGTTTTTTGAAGGTCTCAAAAGCTAGCATTTCAATCTTAAATGTGGAGTTAAAACATCTGGGAACTCAAAGCCAATCTGTAATAAATAAAATTTTAAAAAATTTTAGAAAGTGAACCAAATAGCTTGAAGTGAGAACAGGAGCTGAAACATGGGTAGGGTTAAATGCCTCTTCTAGGAGTCACTGGAATAGCTATGAAAATTTTTTCCAAAACAAAATCTATCCAAAAGATACAATGAGGGCCTCCCTGGTGGCACAAGGGGTTAAGATGCAGCACTATGAAGCTGACCACAAGCACTGCAGCACAAGTTCGATCCCCGGCCAGGGAGGAACCCACATGGCACAGCAGACCTCTCCTGACTCACCCACTGCTCCTGTCAACAGTGTATTGCAGTCAATCTGCCTGTTCTGCTCCCTACTCTGTCTCTGGTAAATACTCTCACCCCCCCACACCTCTGGCCTGTACCCCCGTTCTTGTAGGCATAAATAAATAACTCTTTATTAAAAAAACAAAAGATACAATGATACTCAATGACACAATGAGTACTTATGCTCATCATCTCCCTAGAGAGCTCAGGATTTAGTTTTTGATGGACAAACCAAAGGATAGGAGCCATGACATGAACCTTAAGATTTAAGATTAGAAATGTATCTCGGGCCTCCCTGGTGGTGCAAGGAGTTAAGACGCAACCTATGAAGCTATCCGCAGCCTCTGCAGCATGAGTTCCATCCCTGGCTAGGGAGATACCCACATGACGCAGCACACCTCTCCCGTCTCGCCCGCTGCTCCCCTCAGCAGTGTATTTCAGTCAATCTGCCTGTTCTGTTCCCCACTCTGTCTCTGGTGAAGCCTCTCACCCCACCCCACACACCTCTGGCCTGTACCCCAGTTCTTGTATGCATAAATAAATAAATCTTTTTTAAAAAAGAAATGTATCTCAAGGAACTTATCCTTCAGCAAACAAAGTCATTTGGATCTTAAATTTGTATACGTTTGGCCTTTTGTGACTTTGTTTTTACTTCTCAAAAACTTCATTTTTAATATTCTTCAGTTATATCTGATCTCTCCAGACCAAAGAGAATTTAGAAAGTGCTCTATGTATATCTATTTATTAATTCTGCCCCTAGATAAAACTGAATTTTCCTTGTATGTTGATGGCATTTTATTGGCTTCTAGAGAATTGCTTTTTCTGGATTGTACTTTGGCAGCCTGTATAAAAGTCCCCATGAAACTTAATTGTTGTGGATTTTGTAAAGGATGTTTATCAAGTGACAGTAGACACCTTGATGGCCCTTTACTACCTGCAAGCAAATCATATTATTGTGACTCAGTTCCTGTGTCTGTAAAATGGGGAGGTGGGGTGGGTCTGTGGGTATAGTTATAGTATTTACTTCATAGACAGACCCTTATGAAGATTAAAGGAATTAACAGTGCCAGGTACATAATAAATGTTCGATTCATGTTAGCTGTTCCAGTAAATCTGCTGCAGGCCCTGAGGTAAGTCCCAAGAAAACACCAGAAATTCAAGAGGCTAAATTAGAGCGCTGGTTGAGACCTCAGGTTATCACGTGCAACCCAATCTGCCTGAGTGAGAAATTCAAGTCATCTTTACCTTCTGAATTCACTGTCCCTCCCTCCTGAAGAGAGGTAACGGTGGACCTCCCCGTTGGCCCAACGGTTGAGCGCTGGGTGCAGCCTCTGTATCCCCGGTTCGATCCCCGGCTACCGGGTGAGGGTCCCACATGGCGCGCAGACCTCTCCTGCCGCCCGCTGCTCCCCTCAGCAGTGTACTTCGGTCCTTCTGCCTGCTCTGCTCCCCGCTCTGGCTCTGGGAAATTCTCTCACCCTCCCGCGCTTCTGACTGTACCCAGAGCTTGTGTAAATAAATAAATCTGTAAAAAAAAAAAAAAAAAAAGGTAACGGAGGGAAACCTGTGGAGAGACTGCCTCAGGGCAGGCCACGAAGACCTGACAGAGCAGGAGGGTGAGCTATGGGGAACAGGAGGTATGGAGCCCCTGGGTTCTCCTGCCACCGCGGTACCCTCCCCGAGGTGAGGTCACACCGCCAGTCCCGCGCCCGGCCGACATCCAGCCTCCAGCCCGGGGAGGCGGAAGGCGTTCCCGCCCGAGAGCGCAGGGGGCCCCCGGGCTTACCTGGGGGCGGGGCCACCGCCAGCCCCGCCCACCGCCCGCCGGCGCGAGCCCGGGGCCGACCCGCTACCCTGACGCACAGCGACTCCGCGGCCAATCCGGGAGCGCAGCGCAGGTTCAAATAGAGACGGCGGGCGGCCATGGCTTCACCTCCTGGGCCTGGAAGGTGAACGACTTCGTGTCTGCGTTGAAGATGTGGCAGGTGAAAAAGCGGGACACTGGCCTGTCGCCTTCGCCCCCACCGGTAAGCAGGAGAGCCTCTTAGGGAGAGCAGGGCCGGGGTTTCCCGGAGGGGGCGCCCGTCGTGCCGAGTGGCCTGGAAAGCTGGGCCGAGCGTGAGGCGGCGGGGCCCGAGCGGAGTCTTTGTCCCGCGGCTTTGCGCGCCACCGTGTCGGGACCTCCGCTTGTTACCCTGTCAGCTTCTTGGGGATGAAGGGCGGGCTCGCAGAGGCCGGGCTTTTTCACACATTCTCTTGTTTGTTAGGGAAAGCCAGCTGTGAGAACGCCTCTCCGAGAACTTGTCTTGCAGCCCAGTGCCCTCCCCAGCTCTGGAAAAGGACCCCCGATATGCGACACGCTGTCCCCATCATTGTCCAAGCTGGGATTGCAGGTGAGATTCGCCTGGCCAGCTTCTAACTGGGCTCTTTGCCGAGAATGAGAGCTCAGAGGAACAGAGGGCGAGGCCTGGAACGTAATTAATAGCGATAATGAAGTCTTCTATCTCAGTGACATCCATTTACAGCTATTCAGGCCAACAGAGAGGTGCCCTAGGTTGGCTAAAGGAAATCCACTGAGACCCCGGACCTCTATTTAGTTGTTAGGTTTTTATCAACTCCCCACTTCCCTACTCCTCAATCCCCCTATGTTTACCGTACAACTGAGAAATACCGTGCTCTCCCTCTAGTAAGGACTCACAGAGAGGTCAGTCCTTTTCTTTTCTTTTTTTTCTTTTAAGATTTATTTATTTATGCATACAAGAGCTGGGGTACAGGCCAGAGTTGGGGGGTGGGTGCGGTTTGAGAGGATTCACCAGAGACTAGAGTGGGAAACAGAACAGGCAGACTTACTGAAATACACTGCCCGCGGCAGCTGAGGGGAGCAGTGGGTGAGACAAGGAGAGGTCTGCTGTGCCATGTGGGTCACCTCCCTGGCCAGCCAGGATCGAACTTGCCCTGCTGCACATAGATTCACAGTGCTGCGACTTAACACCTTGCCCCAGCAGGGAGGCCCCAAGGTCAGGGATTTCTGCAAGACTGAGTCCTATCCTTAGTATCATCAGAGGCAGCCGGAATTCTCCTGGATCAAATTGCACCTCTGGAAGGCAGGGTTCATGTACCACCTTAAAACTTGCCCCTTGTAGAATTGTCTTCACAATTTGAGTCCTTTATCAAAGGTCTTGAGAGAAGTAGCTATGTGGAAACTGCTTTTCAATTGCTTAAAAAATTGTCAAAGGAGATTGACCTCTCTATAAGGTTCCTTGAGGAAACTTCTTTTAGAACTTACTACTTGGAAAATTACCTTTCTGGAGAAATTGCTCTTCTTTTCTCTTCCTGAAAATAGAACTATGTAGTTGTCATATTTTTTGCTCTTGTTCTTCCAGAAAGCTCAGGGGTCAAATCTGATTATCAGGTATAGCTATTACTCCTTGAAATAGGAAAAACTGCTTCCCCTTTTTTTTTTCTTTTTAACCATGAGTTTGTATTTCATTAATTGATCAGTTGATCTATCTGTATCTGTTCTTTTTCATGCAGTCCAAATTATTTTTGGAAGGAGATGGACTAAATAAAGTTATAGGAGGAAAAAAGAGCATGTAACAACAGACACAGCCCAGATAACAGATTTATAAGGGTAGCTGTCTTGAAAGGGTTCTAACACCTACCTTTCTTTCTTTTTTTTTTTTTTTAAAGATTTATTTATACAAGCACTGCGTACAGTCAGAAGCTCGGGAGGGTGAGAGAATTCACCAGAGCCAGAGCGGGGAGCAGAGCAGGCAGACTGACGAAACACACTGCTGCGGGGAGCAGCGGGTGTGGCAGGAGAGGTCTGTCGCACCATGTGGGACCCTCACCTGGCAGCCGGGGATTGAACCAGCGCTGCAGAGGCTGGGGGCAGATTCGCAGCTCAGCGCTCAACTGCTGCGCCACCAGGGGAGGCCCTAACACCTACCTTTCAATAGGACTTTTTTGGATAATGGAAATGTTTGATAATCTGTGCTGCCCACTATGATAGAAGGATGTTGAGCACTTGAAATGTTGCTAATGTGACTGAGGAACTAGATTTTTAGCTTCATTTTATTTAAATATCCTCATATGAATAGTGGTTACCACGTTAGACAGTAGAAAAGAAATAAATACTAAGCAGAAAAGAAATAAAGATCTAGTCAATCCTGCTTGGAACTTGAGCCATTTCAACGTGTGAACTCACATTTTCCTTTACCTTGGAGAAATTTTATTCTATTTGTTAATACCTCATCTGCATATGTTCTTTTCTCTTGAAAGAGCATTTATTC